ATTTGGCAGATGACGTAATCACTGCCAAATAACTCGAGTTATTTGGCAAGCACTATCATAGTAAGCTGCCGGATAATTCTATTTATTAGTTTTTGCCTTAGAGGTACCCAAATTAATTCTTCGTCATTTAAAAATGCCGTGATGGTGGTGCTACAATTCGGATCATTCAGAGAACGAATTGATACTTGCCAAGCATTTGCAGTGCTGGTTAGGGATGTTAATGGCTTTACACATCAACTTGGTAGTAAAGTCAATTTTAGTCGATCACATGATATGAAGTTGATATAAAGTTCGAAACTATTTATTAATTTGACGACCTTAGCATCCCCCTGAGGAATGCGGCGTTATGCTCGATAGATTACACGAAACAAAGATCGAACCTTAGTTATTTTCGAAATAATCAAATTATCGATAATGATTTAATTAATAAAATTAAACATTTGTTTTTATATCTGCGTTGTCTAGCATTTTTTGATAATCTTTTATAGTCATGCAACAGTATTCGGTACAATTAACGTGTCGATAGCTGTAAATAATGCTTAACATTGGTGATTTTTTGCTATTTTAAACTTTCTACAGCAGTTCTCACGTTTTTTGCTATTCCAGTATTCTATGCTCTTAAAAGTCGATCGATCGATCGATCGGTACATATCAACAATGTATTACGTATGTTGACTTTCTCGTATAATTTATCTACACCAATTTGCTTGGCTAATACCAAACTAATCAAGACCAAACCAAAACAGGATTAAAAACCTATCACAAAGTGTGGCAACTTTCTATGTGGCATTATTTTATTGTGTTAATGCGTTATTGTATTTCATTGTGCTAATAAATGCGTTATTTCATTATGTTGATGCGTTAAAATAATTAAAACTGATCGCATATATCCTATCTATGTATTGCAGTCACGCTTAGAATAACCCAAATGCACGATTGGACCTTTGTTCTAAATGGCTATATTCATCTACTTTACAGCTTATTATTTGTGTTATATTTTGATGCTATATGCAAATGAAATCAAGTTTTACAAAGAAATAAAATAGATCAAAAGAAAAAATATATATTAAATGTATGATCATTGATATAATGTTCTCCCCTCCAAAAAAGTTCTACATTCTAGTCATAAAAGGTAAAGAAAAAATAAGTAAATAAATAATTAATTAATTAATTTAAAATATATACAATCGTCGAAAATCTCGACATAATTATAAACTTTAAAAAAAAAATTTATATTATAAAGTAATTTAGGGGCAAAATTTTAGCTTTTAAAAATGACAGTCAAAGAAAAGAGCGAAGCGGAAATTACCAATCACGATGTAGCAAGCTATGACGGTTATAAAGATAAATCTATGGAGAAAAGGATTATTAGGAAATTTGATATTTATTTATTACGTATGTTTCAATTGCAATCATATAAAATATTTGCTAATTTTTAAATTATTTACTAACAAATTTTTAAAAAAATCATATAATTAGCGATATGTACTTTATTATATTTATTCTTGATAGTCGATCGTTCTAACATTGGCAACGCCATTGTAGCAGGCTTCACTGGAAAATACTTACAATCCACAGCTCTCGAATTTAATCTTGCGGTATCAGCACATCTTTTTGGTTTTGTATTCTTTGAAATTCCTTCAAGTCTTGTCAAAGATTTTGGGATTTCATGTTTGGATTCCGATCATAATGGTGTGCTGGGGTGCCTTATCTATGTGTCAAGCAGCAGTTACTTCTTCGCTTCAATTAGGAATTGTCAGATTCCTTTTAGGTTAGCTTTATATAATTATTTATGATTATTTATGATTTAATAAATTTTTTTAAAAAAAGCAAAAATTATTAATTTATTAATAAAGGGGTGGCAGAAGCCGGGTTTTCTCCAGCTGTTATAGATTATATATGCTTATTTTACTCCAGAAAAGAAGTGACTATGAGGTACGGTGCCTTTCTTTATGGCTCTGAGTATCATCGCTGGGGCATTTACTGGTCTTCTTGTAAGTTTTTATTTTTAACACTTTTGACAGTAAATTTTTAATTTAAATTTACTACACATAATACAGTAATAGGAACCTGATACTGTATTTCTATACTGCTTTTATATTTTCACACCTAACTTATAAATACTGTTATACTGCCACAATATATATATATATATTAAGTAGATTTAATGGTGTGGAAAATATTAAAAAAGAATGTGGAGATCAGATTCTTACTAATATTTACTATTAATAACTATTTTATTAAACTCAATCCAGGCATATGGAATAGTTCAAATAAAAGGGTCCTCATTAAAAAGCTTCCAAATGATATTCTTGTTAGAAGGTATCCCAACTATCATTCTTGCTGTAATTGTCGCAACATTTTTCACTAAAGGCCCCGGAAACGCCCGTTTCCTCACTCCTGAAGAACGTCGTTTCACCATCGATCGTCTTAAACCAGAAGGTGGTGTTGATGAAGAAAATCGTAGTGTCATAAAATCTCAAGCTAAAAGCGCGTTTTTTGATCACAGAGTTTACGTTTACATATTAGCCGCAACTTTTGGAGCAATTCCATTTAATGCACTTAATTATTTCCTTCCAACCTTGGTGGGTCAGCTTGGTTATAATCCTGTAGAGACTCAATTAATGAGTGTACCACCATACATAATAGCAACTATTGTAATGATTATATTTTCTTGGTTAGCTGATAAATATCAAGTCAGAGCTTTACCTATAATGGTTGGCGATATAGTTGCCATCATAGGAATTGCAGGGACAATTGCAACATCTGCCACTGATCCAAGTTTATTCAAAATACGTTACTTTTTCACCATACTTATAGCTTGTGGTGTATATACTACACAACCAATTGTTTACAGCTGGCTTACTTGCAATATTCGTCAGTAACTTTATTTTTTTTTTAAAATAGATATACAGTAAAAGGCTAGTTAAAATTCTAATCTTTTTTCTTAATTTCAAATTAGTTGGTCAATATAAACGTAACATAACGATTGCAACATCCTTTACTATCGGTAATATTGGTGGCGTCATCGGAATTCTACTCTTTCAACAAACAATGGCACCTGAATTTAGAAACGGTATGATATTGTCCCTGAGCATGATAGTCGCTCAATTTGTTTTAGCTCTTTTGATGAAATTTCATTTGAATTATGAGAATAAGAAACGTGATTTGGCCACGTTATCCAATAATAAGATTCAGCTAAGTGAAAGTGAATTAAAAGATACAAAGTCCATTAAGGAAAAGGCTGCAAAATTGGTGGAACATGAACCGAAATTCGATGATATTTTGTGCGATTTACATCCTAATTGGAGGTATATTGCTTAAACACACAAAAGGATTTTTGTTAGCACTAAACTTTTTGAATCCTTTGATAATTAGTAGTTACTATACTTTAATATCTTATTAAGTTGCCGATTTATTTTTAGCATTATGATTTATAATTTTAATATTAAGTTGACGATTTATTTTTAACATTATTATGATTTATAATTTTGATATCTTATTACAGTGCTTTTCAAATTACTGTGGTCATCAAATTTCGTACATCACACATCACACGGGAATCTGGAAATCTAGAAATCTGGAGTCTAAAATTTTTTTTTTAAAT